GTCCCGGTCCCGGTCCCGGTCCCGGTCCCGGTCCCGGTCCCGGTCCCGGTCCCGGTCCCGGTCCCGGTCCCATCCCCATCCCCATCCCCATCCCCATCCCATCTCCTCCCCTCCCCTCCCTATCCCAGGGCCCTTCGCACGCGGCCCTCGGTGACCGCAGCTGGCTCCGTGATGGCAGCCCTGCTGTTATTCCTCTAATCACAGTCCCCTGCTACGTTTCCCACTGGACTCATCCGTTTCTCTGGTCTCCTCCTCTCTCCAAGACTTGTAATTTCAGCGTTTACTCTTCCCGTTCTTCCCATCTGCCTGTCCCCGCTCCTGGTGTCGGTCACCCTCGGCCTCCGCCTGAAACCTGCTTAATCCAGCTCAGATATTCTGGGGGCTCGGCTGCCAAGATGAAATAGGCCTGGAAGTTTTCACATCAAAACTGTTATTTTTCAAATTATCACTTATCCACATGCAGGAAGCCTGTAACAGGTATGGAAAAAGACACCTTTCTTCCTGATGCGACGCACTGCCAGATTCCGTGTATCCATTCCAAAGCACGGCAGGACTAGAACATCTCATTAAACAATTGTGAGGGGGTTTTGGTTTTGTTTTACATTGGCGAGAGGCTGACTTTTTTCCCTGACCTCATCTTTGGCAGAGGCTGAGCTATTTTTACTGAAACTCTTCAACAAACCAAGTTCATTTACTATACAGTTTTGGATAGAATGACCCAATCCCAAACAGTTATAAACCAGAGGAATTGTAACTAAAAAGAGTTTTGAACAAGAATGTGTCACTCAGATTTGCCATACCATGCATAATTTGCCATATTAGTATTTTTTTCTCATTATCGTTCATCATTAATTTTAAATCTAGTCTTTTCAGTGTGATCTAAAATATGCTGGAGGGAGTTTGATGTTGGACACATTAGCACCAACTATAAATACTGAACAGAGGCTTATTCTTACAGTTGGAATAAAATCTCTCTATTCTGCAATGTCTTGATTAAATTTAGTCTCAGGATTTCAATCTAGAGTCTACAGTGAAACTTTCTTTGTATGTTTAACAATAAAAAATATAATCATCTTTGCACAGGTAACAGATAAAAAGTACTTTGTGTGTGGGCAAAAAGCATCTTGTTTTCTTAATTTCCTCCTGGATTTCCTTCACAGGAAATTTTCCCACTCTCACAAATGTCAAATATCAACCACTTGCAAATGTCTACTCTAATGACAGTTCAAACACAGGGCGTAGCAAAGCTTTGGTAATTAAGCCATTAGAAATTATTATCGTATCTATCATATTTTAATGAGTGACAAAGCAGATGGAACTACCCAGATCCATCAGTCTCCTCTCTATATTCAAGCAGAACTGAGTCTCAGAATAGGAGTTTTTAGCAATATGTTTTCATTAGAATTTTTTTTTTTTTTAAGTGAAATTTCAATGCTTTATATTTTGCTGGGATTTATCTCAACAAGATTTTGCAAAGTCAACTCTGGAACATCTCCGGGGTCCTTGACCATGTCAGAGTCCAATGATCCCTGCGACTTTGTACACCGATAAAAAGCCGCAGTAACCTCCCTATTCCCCGATATCCTCGTCCGTGTGGGTTTGGGAGCTATTAGCTGGCTTTAAGGTGACATCTGGTGGTACCTTTTAATTACTGCTCTTTTTAGGACCTGATCCCAGAACTACGCAAATGAATTATCTTTCCCCTGTTCCACATCAAAAAAAATTACCTCCTTTTTGTTTCCCAAGCAAGATACTTGTAATTCCTGCTTTTGGACTGCAAGTGTCTTACTGGTAATATCCGGGAATAAGCACTTATCCCACAGTCTGGTGTAAAATTACATCATGAATTCACACCAGAGCGATCCAGTGCAGTTGAATTTCAGTAGGAAACAATCACTTTGCGTTTCACGTACCATTTACATGAGGTCCTGTGACTCGTGACATTACTCAGCCCTGTTTCGAGAGGGAAATAAAACCATTTTATGAGCCCTCCTATGGCTTCATCTCAACAGCAAATCCGACGTTTTGAAGGCAGAAAAAAGGGTACATCGCAGCAGAACTTTGTCGCACCAAGTCCCCGTCCCCCCTCGCAGCTGGCAGAAGCACCGGGGCAAATCTGCAGCCTTGAAACCTGCGGAGGACGAGTGACTTTTGCAGTCTCCCTCCGTTTCCCGGAGAGAGGAAAATGAACACCGCATTAGAAGACTCATCAAAGAGACTCATCAAAGGCAAAGTCTCGCAGATGCCGCAGCGCTCTCGCTTCTGCCGGTCTCGCATCCCAGAAGGGTCCCGCAACCTGTCAATGCCTGTGCTCAAGGCGGGTGTTCCCTCTCCTCCGCATGCCCCCAGGCTGCTCCATGCAAAGATCGGCCACTCCAAAAAGCAGCTCTGTGGCTTTGCGGTTTGCTCCTCTCCGCTCTCAAATTGACTCTCTCCTCCAGACGGATTCCTTTGGCTTTTTAAATGTAACCGGTCTGGCAAAGGAGGATTCACTCACGGTTGGACATAAAAATAGACATGAGAAGGTGGGTGAGAGCAGGCAGAAAGGGGAATTCCCTTCCTCTGGGTTTTGGAAATGCCCCGGAAATTTGGGAGATTTCTCCTTTCCAAGAAGAAAGCTGATGCAATGAATCCATGCAAATTTGCTCCCACTTCAGCAGAGCAGGTGTGTTCTCTCCAGCAGAGGTTCTATGGACTCCAAAATCAAACAAGTGCCACAAGATAGGGACTATCTCTCTTCCCTTCCAAGGGACCAAGACAGTGGTTTGACCTCACAGTATTCTGAAGAGATTGGGCATTTTAGTGATTTAACCTATTAAATACTTTATGTAATGAAACCTATCAAGAAAAACCACATTTGGATAGGATTGGTCAAATTCTGCTCAATTTACTCCCATGAAGATCTGAAGTCATGTCAGAGGAGCTGGAAGAGAGGGTCCCCATGGCAATGCCAAGAATTTGCTCTTGATTAATGTCAATATAGGCCCTTTTCTAGCCCCTGTCCTAGGTGCATGTTTAACAGAACAACCATGAAAAAATGATGCCTTTAGGTTTTCAGTCACACACTAAACCCCTAGATTTTGAAAACCATCTTAACGGGTTCCCTGGGAGAAACATTCTCCCACCTGTGCCTCCCTCAGCCAGCCTTGCAGGTGGCCTTTGCAGAACAGGGACAAGTTTGCTTGTGGGTGAGAGGACATTTCCCGCTACTCTGAGCAGGGGAAGGGGGCAGACACAGCTGGGCTGTGCTCTGAACCCCTGCCCTTTGTTTTGTCATGCCCATGCTCCTGGCAGCAAGGAGGGCACCATGGGGGCAGCCTGCATGCTGTCTTCTGGACGAGGATGTACCCACCTGCTGACCAATTGGGTAAACAATTCTGTCTCACCACTGCTGCAGAGGAGGTGGCCAGTGTGTCCCTGCACTCAAAGAAGTGCTGCCATGTCAGCCCAAACACAACACCACACATCTCTGCACGAGACCTGACAACCATGGGAATGTCAGAGCATCTTCCACGTTCCTCTTCCAGGAGGCTGGGCAGAGCCCAAGCAGAGCTCTGGCACAGCACCAGACACCCTGTCTCAGAAACTGGAAAGGTTTTGTTCTAGGGCAAATGGATACGTCCAAATTGACAGCTCCTGTACTGGGACTGGTTGCTGCAGTCTTGTGCTCCCCTGCCTGCTCATCATAGCCATCTGCTGCCTTGGCTACAACTCAGAGCCTGTCACCCTGCCACAGTGCTGTGGCATGGCTACGACCAAGCTCCTGGCGGTACCATGGTTATGGAGTGGCACTGAGCTGACCAGCTGGCTCCTGTCTGCTCTGAGGTGCTCCCAGGCATGAAGCTGCGCAAACACTGGGACACAGTGACACAGGGACTGACCCTGTGTCACTGTGCCTTGCTTCAGCCCTGGGCAGAGCCCATCACACCATGCTCAGCCCTTGGGAGCTGAGGATCAAAGGGTGAGACCCCAATACTCAGGACAGGCCTGGGGCATGGCTTCTCTCAGCAGCACCTGAATTTTTGAGATGTCTGAATACCAATTTTGTAGGGTAAAACCTTAAACATCTGACGAAGCTGTATTTTCTTTGTATTCACCCACCAAAGTGCAGAAATACAGATTTGCACAATGTTAGACCATGGTGGATGCTGAAAGAGTCCACAGAGTTCTATGAAGATTGAGGCCAACAGCCCAAAGGCTATCTAGTCCCATCTCTGCTGCCCCATGTTGAGGCACGAAAGCGTTTCTGCATTGCCTGGTGCACTGTCCTCACTCCACAGCTAAGCCAGGTTATCTCCTGGATGAAGGCACAGCTTTTTGTGTCCTCAGGCTGCACAGCAGTCTCTCCTCCTCTGGTTATGTTCCTCCCACTTGCACTCACTCCTTATCCCTGCAGTTACAACAGTGAAGAGACTTGTCCCTTCTGTGGCACTGAAATTGAAGACCTCTGCCACCACAGGGCTCTTCAGCTTGTCCTCCTCCCCAGGCACCCCAGGCTTGGGCACCTTCAGCTCTGCCCCAGCTTTCTTCAGCCCTTTTTGCAGAGCTGCAAGATCCACATGTCTCCAGATGCTACTGGATCCCTACTCAGGTCTCTGAGAGATCCCACTCTGATCAGCTTGCCCCCAGATACATTTAGGTTTCCCAGACCCTTAATTTTCCCTGGCTCCCTGAGCCAGTGAAGTCACAATGTTTATTGTTCCTTGCCGTGAATGATTCTCTAACTCTTATGGTTTGCTGTCTGTTCCACTTTTTTTTTTTTTGTTTTGTTTTGTTTTGTTTTTCTTTGTTTTGTTTTGTTCTTCCTGTCTTCCTTTGCTGGGCTACCAAGCTGTGAAGAGCTCTTGGAACAGAGGATGAGTCAGGACAGATATGCAGAGGGAAGAAGATGATATTCCAGCCTTGAAGTCAGGTTCACTGCCTGCGTCATTGTTATTAAAAATAGATGAATGGCAGTGCTCTTCGCATTGGGGGAGAGACACAGGAGATGTAATATCCTGGGCTGCTGAGCAAATGCTCCCTCTGTCTGCCTGCAAGTCCCCCAGTGGCATCTTCTGCTCTTTAATAAATTCTCTTTTCTTGGCTCTGACTTGTGGGATTTAATTTGCCTTTCATAAAAAAAAAAAAAAGTTTCAACTTTGGGAGAGGGAATGACTCAATGATTAGCTCTTCTGCTCCAGTCAATCGACTTCCAGCTTCCTTGAGAACTGAAAATCCCTACAAGTGCCAAGTTGCCTTCCTTTGAGAGCAGGCCCTCTCCTCATTCTGTACTGAAGAGCTTCTGGAGGATGAAAGCAGCTGTTTAGGGATGACACCTGGGCCTGTCTACCCCAAGACCATCCTAATCATGCCCTATCCTCATGAAAAAGCAAGGGGACAGGGGGCAGGCTGGGATCTTCTGGGCTTTGCAAGGCCAGGCTGAGATGTGCACCAGCCGTGCTCCCAGAGCCCCTGGCAAAGGGCAGAGGGGAGAGAGGCTGAAGCACAAGAAATGGGATAATTTACATGAGCCCAAAGCCCAGGTGAATCACCCACATGCCCAGAGCCGTCCCTCTGTTCAGGACTCCCTCTGCTGCAATCACTCACCCTGGGCTGGTGAAATAGGTGATCACTCTTCAGATTGTGTGGGGCTGCAGGTTATGGTGGCAGCAAGGCCAAAGCTGGGGACACTCAGCCTGTGTCATACCCTGAGCTGGGGGGCACACCCCAAGGACTGAGTTTACTTGTCTTTCCCAGGGCCAGCACCTCTCTCTCTCCTGCCTCCTTCCCCTCAGCTCTTTTGCTGCCACTGTTTTCTATTCACTTATTTTCTATGATCAGCTTCTTCCTATTAAATTACTATAACCAGCATTATCATCTCTGGTCTGCTCCATGACTTGGCCAGCAGCCAGGAAAAAAAGGATGGGAGCTGAACAGAACCACTGCAAGAGGGAGGTGTGACAGTGGCAGAAGTTGATGCTGTAGTTTTTGAACACAAAACTTTAGAAAGAAAGTTATCCTAAGTCCTCAACTCTCAATGCTACCCAGACCTGTCTGATCAAGATGCTGCTAGGGCTTGTAAGGGTGTTTTCAGTCTTACTCAAGAACAAGCCAAGAGCCTACACAGACATGGGGGGCTGCTGCCTGCTGTCTAAGGGGAATGGTTTTGCTTATTCCATGAGAAAGTGGCTGTGTACCAGTGGGATGTAAAATTTTCCCTTGCTTTTGCTCTCTTCTCCAGGGTGGGACATCGGCAGTAACAGCATCATCACACAGATGCAGTCCTTTTTCCTGCTCACAATTGCACCTTCCTTGCTATGGGGAGCCAAAGGTACCTCATTAGTGTGTTAATAATAATCCTAATGAGTGTGGAGATCAGCTAAGTAATAGCAGTGACCTGCAGGGGGGCTCATCTGCCCAGATTTATGGTGTTGCTCACCAACCCCTCCGGGGACTGCCAGGCCCCCTTCCTCTCTGTTCTCTGGCTGTTGAAAATACCCCGTGCGGTGTCTATGTGCTTAATTAAAGCAGAGGAACCGGTAACCTTGACGACTGCGAACCACCCTCTCTAAGACAGCTGAGATGGACATGGTTTTGGCGTCTCCGGGGAGAGGCCAGAGCAGAGGAGTGAGTCAAGCACGCAGGCATTGGATGCGCTCATGAGCTGTGGGCACAGCCAGAAGTGCCCATGTCCCCTGCAGCTCGTGCCCTCCTCAGGGCTGAGTCCTGGGGAGATGCCCTGGTCCCTCACTGGTGAGATGTGGCTGCTGGCCTGGGTGATGCATGGTGCAGCACTGAGAGACCAAGCCTGTCCAGAGCAAAAGAGGCTTCGGTCTGTTGGGTAGCCCTGCAACCTCTGTGGGTAGTAGAAGATTCCTATAACCAACTAAGTAGTTGTAAATATGCTTAAAAGAATTCCCCTAAGAACTGAGACATTTGTACCTCTGCAGAAAATGGTACAGCTAGTTTTCTTAGCAGTAAGTAGCAAGCAGCTAGAAACACATTTCCCATGAGGGGCTAAGATTGAATTTTGCTTTTCCTTATAAAGCTGGTAAAAGGCGTGATCAGTTCTGTATCAGATCAACTCTCTTCTACCCCCAAACTGAGAGCAGGAGCTACCAAGCAGCCCAATACTGAAAAAAGGAGGCAAAAACTCTTGGGTTAATACCCATTTCTACTTTCTTCCTCTGTCCCCTGGTGCTGGAGACACAGATATCTGATGCTGAAGGGGACCCACAGCCCCATCTCTGCCAAAGCAGCCTGAGAAAGGATCAGCACCTACCATGCCATGACATGGGGCACTCTTCTTCAGAAATGCTGGCCAGAAGAGAGCAGTCAGACTTCCTGAAGGATGGCTCAGCCTGCACACTGCCTGGATGAGGCTGGCCAGCCTCGAGGATGCTGGAAGGGATATGAAGCCAGGGGATGTTCCAGGGGCTGCAGGATGCCCTGAGAAACCAGCCGTGGCACATCGAGCACCCAGCTGAACCCTGACCAGGGCTGTTATCCAGGGGTACTTGGAGCACCTCTGCACCCAACTGTGCCCACAGATCCAGGTACCACAAAACTATCCAGAAGCCCCAAGATGATGCCTCGCGTTGGGCTCATCTGCTGTTCCCATCCCTGCATGGGGCAGAAGTGGGGGTGTCAGGCTCAACTAGGGGTGCCAAGAGCAGATTAGGAGGCGGTAAGATCCTGGTCCGGGATCACTTGAACCTGTCCATCGGTTGATGAGATGGTGCAAACCTGGGCTAAGGATTCCCAGAACAGAGAAATACGGGACCGGGGTGTCCTGTCCGAACCAGGAGTGACCGCTCTAAGGATGCCGAGGCCGGTGTCGGACTGTGCCAAGGGTGTCCTGCCCGAACCCAGAGTGCAGGGGACCAACTAGTGATGCTGGGGGTGATGCGAACCGAACCGAGGGTGCCGGGGACCGAACTGGGACTGGACCGAGCGCGCGCTGTCCGACATGAAGATGCGGGGTACCGGGCCGGCAGTGTGGGGGGCCGGCAGCTGCCCCCTCCCCGCTCCTCCGGGGCCGGGGCTGGACCACGTGCCTG